AGACCCCACATAGAATCATAGAATCTCAGTACTGCAAAGGATCTGGAGAGAAGGAAATAACTTGTATTATTATGTGCCTGGGTGTTTAAAATTCATCCGCATTTAATCTGTACAGAAACCTGCATTGTCTCGTTATCCCCTTTTTCCAGATGAGGAAGTTGAAGTTCAGAGAAGTGAAACCTCTTGCCCAGTGTCATCCTTCCAGCTAGATGTAGAGTGGGGATGAACATCCAGATCTCTCCTACTTAGAAGTGCACGTTCTTTACATTTCACTCTGTTACCTCAGAGTTCATCTGTCTAAATGAGCCCTGCCCAATCTGTTGCTCAAGTCTTCATTAAGACAGCTTCATCGACTGGGTGCGGTGGCTCAAGCCTGTAATCCCAGCACTTTGGGAGGCCGAGGCGGGTGGATCACAAAGTCAGGAGATCGAGACCATCCTGGTCAACATGGTGAAACCCCGTCTCTACTAAAAATACTAAAAATTAGCTGGGCATGGTGGCATGTGCCTGTAATCCCAGCTACTCAGGAGGCTGAGGCAGGAGAATTGCCTGAACCCAGGAGGCGGAGGTTGCGGTGAGCCGAGATCGCGCCATTGCACTCCAGCCTGGGTAACAAGAGCGAAACCCCGTCTCAAAAAAAAAAAAAAAAAAAAAAAAAAAAAAAAAAAAAAAGACAGCTTCATCAACTGTTATCAGTCTAGTCTCCTCCAGGGACAAAGAATTCAATGTATTTTAATACAGTCCATTATAGCTATTGACTGCATTTAAAGGTTTCTCTCCATATTAGGCCAACATATTTCTTCTGAAACCCTTACCTACAAATCCTAAGAATATTCTCTGGGGTTGGGTGTAATGAGACAGTGAAAGAGATTAATAGCCACTTTGTATATCTGTCCTCTCTTTATGTAGTCATAGAATTTTTATGCAGCACAAAGGTAGGTGTACCATGAAGCTAATGAAGCTTCAGAGCCCTCAATCCCTGGAAGTTGTGGAATGTTCAAGATGGAGAGGAAAAGAATGTGTTTGGGAAGTGTGTCTGCTAAATTGGCTAAAGAGATCTCGGAAGAAAGGGACCTGAATCTCCAAAGCTCCAGTAATTTGTTTTGATTTCTTTTCTCATCTTTAGCAAGTATTTACTTTTTTACCAATTTTGTACTGGAAACTTTGTATCATTTTCCTTAAAGAGGGTTCCAAAAATTGTATGCAGCCCACAAAATCCGGATCCACTCCTGGTGTGACCCATAGCCGTGCTGTTAAATACATTTTCAGTACTGTATTTACGTCTAGGCGTTTACATGAGAAAAATGAACCCCTGTCTTGTTCAACCTGCTGAGACTACAGGAGCATGCCATCACATCCAGCTAATTTTTTGTATGTTTTAATAGTAGAGATGGAGTTTCACTGTGTTAGCCAGGATGGTCTTGATCTCCTGACCTCATGATCCGTCGGCCTTGGCCTCCCAAAGTGTTGGGAATACAGGCGTGAGCGACCGCACCCGGCCTCAGAAGCCAGGAAGCTTTAATGGTACATGAGGAAAAGAGAAGAGAAGACAAGAGCTATAGAAAGTCTTCCCAGTTGTTCCTTGAGGCCGAAATCAATTCTTCCTCGATCTAAGCTAATGAAGCCATTTCTGTCTTATAGCCAAGAAGAGGTCTGCCTATTACAAAGAAAAATTTGCTATGCACTCTCATACAGCGTATATGAACCAAGCCAGGGTAAGGCCCCAGGAAACTCCCACCCTATGCCTTTTCATGTTAACAGTTTGCCTGTAACTCTGTATCTCCTGAGCTCCTAGATCCATCTATCCAACTGCCTCACCGATAGGACATCTTAAAGGCACCTCAAAATCTGTATCATCTTTCCTCAAATCCTCTGCCTCCAGGGCTCCCCATTGCAGTAAACACAGTACTCACCTTCGGGTGTTCAACTCAGAAACTCGGATGAGGTCCATGAGGCCAAATGTGGTGGTTCATGTCTGTAATCCTAACACTCTGGGAGGCCTAGGCGAGAAGATTACTTGAGCCTAGGAGTTCGAGACTAACCTGGGTAAGATGGCGAGATTCTCTTTCTATAAAATATTTTTAAATGGCCGGGTGCAGTGACTCACACCTGTAATCGCAGCACTTTGAGGCAGGAGGATTGCTTGAGGTCAGGAATTCGAGACAAGCTTAGCCAACATGGTGAAGCCCCATCTCTGCTAAAAATACAAAAAAATTAGTCTGGTGTGGTGCCTGTAGTCCTGGCTACTCAGGAGGCTGAGGCAGGGGAATCGCTTGAACCCAGGAGGCAGAGGTTGCAGTGAGCCAAGATTGCACCATTGCACTCCAGCCTGGGCAACAAGAGCGAAACTCCATCTCAAAAAAAAAAAAAAAACAAAAAACAAAAAAACACTGCTAACATGTCCTGTTCCCTGCCTGCCCCTCTTGCTTAACCATACCCTTGCCTCAACTCTCTGCCCTCCAACCACACTGTTTTATTTAAAATTAATAAAGTAACATCTCCCTTCCCCCAGTGTTCTTCCACTATATCATTTGACATAGAACTTTCATATGCACAACTGTAAATTCTATGCAAAATACTTGAAAGGAGAGCTGTAGAAGCCCCTTGCACCCGTGGGCATCCTCTAACTGGCCTAGGTCTTCTAGACACTGCTCTCAGAACTTCTACCAGGCACACCTTTTAGAAATAAGGTCATTCCAACCCTCGCACACCACAGAGTTTGAAATAAGTGGAGTAGAAATAGAAGAACCTATAGAGATCCTGGCTTTATAGTAATGTGTGCCAGGGGCCATGCCAACTGCATTTTATGTGGGATGGCTTGAACAAGGCTCAATCTACTTAACAAACAAATGACGACCTCTGCTGCCATCCTGGTAAGAAAAATTGATCCAGCTTCCTCATCCTGCTGTCTTCTTAATCAAAATCTCACGCAGAAGCATCTGGTAAGCTTGCTTTCATGCATGTGCCAAGTTATGCATGAGAATCTGTCTCAACACGGACGGAGACAGTGGACATCTGACTTCTGTTGTAAGCAGAAAGCAACTTCAAAGGGAAAGGTAATAAAAAAAGATGTTGGGCAGCCTTAAAGTATATTTGTCCCTACCCCATGGTTTAACCCAGTCAGCAGGTGACATTCCTCTAGCCATAGGAGATTGCTTCACTATAGGCATCTGACCCAATTCACGCCAGTGAGATGTTAGGGAGGTTTCTGGGGTTGTTGTAAAACATTTTTTCTTTTCTTTCTTTCTTTCGTTGCTTAAAATATTCCTTCCTTCCTTCCTTCCTTCCTTCCTTCCTTCCTTCCTTCCTTCCCCCTCTCCTCCTCCCCTCTCCTTCCATCCCTTTCCCTTCCCTTCCCTTCCCTTCCTTTTTTCCTTTTTCCTTTTTTTTTTTTTTTGGAGACAGAGCCTTACTCTGTCATCCAGGCTGGAGTACAGTGGCACAATCTCGGCTCACTAACCTCCACCTCCCGAGTAGCTGGAGCTACAGGCACCCACCACCAGGTCCCATTAATTTTTATATTTTTAGTAGTGACGGGGTTTTACCATATTGGCCAGCCTGGTCTGAAACTCCTGACCTTATGATCCACTCTCCTTGGCCTCCCAAAATGCTGAGGTTACAGGTTTGAGACACTGCGCCCAACCCCCCTTTTTTTTTCTTGAGACAGGGTCTCACTCTGTTGCCCAGGCTGGAGTGCAGTGGCACAGTCTTGGCTCACCATAGCCTCAAACTTGGGGGGCTAAAGCAATCCTCCCATCTCAGCCTCTTGAGTACCTGGGACTACAGGCACATGCCACCAAGTCCAGCTAAAATATTTTTTTGCATTTTTTGTAGAGACAGGGTTTTGCCATGTTATCCAGGCTGGTTTTGAACTCCTAAACCTAGGAAATTTGCCGACCTTGGCCTCCCAAAGTGCTGGGATTACAGGTGTGAGCCACCACACTTGGTCCCCTTTTTTTTCTTGAGACAGGGTCTCACTCTCTGGCCCAGGCTGGAGTGCAGTGGCATTCCGTCTCAAAAAAAATAAAAACAAAAAACTGAACCCCACCAATCTCAAAGTCTACCCATTACACCTCTGGGTCTCACTATATTGTGAGGCAGTAAATTTTTATCATTTAAGCCAGGTTGAGGTTTTTGTTTATCTAAAAATACCTACATATCTGACAAAGAAGTTGTATCCCACATACATAAACAACTCTCAAAACTCAATAACAAAATAACAAGAAAATGGGCAAAAAACTTAGCCATTTCACCAGAAAAGGTAAACAGAGAAGATGATTAGCTTCATTAGTCATAAGGAGCAACATGGCGAAACCCCATCTCTACAAAAAAAAAAAAAGTTACGTAAATAACAAGATAAAGTTAGTGGATGAAGACTTCCTGGAAAGGATAAGCAGAGGTGATAAGGATAAAATCTTGCAAGAATATGAAAGCGTTTTGGAAAGTAGAACTTATAAAAGTACAGGTTTCATAATTTTCTTTGTATTCCCCCGTAAGTTCAAGCATAACATTGGACACGTCTCTGGTATTTGGTAAATGTTTCTTATTCATTCTTACTGTAGGGTTCATAAATAAATTGTTTAATGAGTGGAAAGGCATTCAAGTCAAAGGGGAGTGTCCAGAAAAGATTCCTGCAGATTAGCCCCAGACGTGACTCAGGTCCCAAGGACTTTCCCCCTTGTTCTGTGTAGAGTTTAGGGTTGACCACCTTTTATTTTCTTGATCCAGGATAATTGAGGTCACACTTTTAGCTATGGCATGGTTTGCAGTTTGAGTAGCTGGTGATAATCTCGTGCTTCCTGTTCTACAAAAAGATGTAGATTCTGAGGGGTATGGGGACGCAAGACACTACCTGTCCAGGTGGGCATACTTCCTGCAGCAGCCCCCTCTGAGTGCCTCCCCCTCCTGCCTGACTGCCAGGCTGTGTTCTGCAGAAACCAGCATTGATAATATCTAGTTTCTCAGATCTGCAAGGGCCCTCTCAGCTGCAGATTGGTAATATGACAATTAACCATCAAGGTTGTGAAGACTCAGGTATGAGGCACACAGCAGCAACCACTTCCGGTAGTCAGCATCTTGCTAGCTAGCCCCCCTGCGCCCCACAAATCTGGTGATGCTATGAATTGCAGAAGTGGAAGGAAACTGTTTCATTAACCGTCTTTGCTCACCTCTCTAGGGCCATAAAGGCTCTTGACTTTCCCCCATCAAAAGGATCTCTTCCCCAAGCTATACACTAGGGTATAAAGAATTTTATTCTAATAGATCATATAATGCTCTTTCCTTTAGGAAACCTTCTAGCTGAACACTTTGCCTGGACACTGAAATTCAGCTTCTTTTCCCCTAAGTTTTCTTTTGTTCTGAACTCTAAAATTTACTTTTCAGTTAGAACACCCTACTCCTACTTCGCTATTGTGGTGTTTTGGTTTTTTTGTCATTGGAGGCTGGATCTTCATAAGTATACCTATCTTAAATTTTAATATCATAGAAGACAGGTACTGGCTTTGAGCTTGTATGGTAGAATTTAGCAATACATGATTTTTTTTTTTTTTTTTTTTTTTTTGAGACGGAGTTTCGCTCTTGTCACCCAGGCTGGAGTGCAATGGCGCGATCTCGGCTCACCGCAACCTCCGCCTCCTGGGTTCAGGCAATTCTCCTGCCTCAGCCTCCTGAGTAGCTGGGATTACAGGCACGCGCCACCATGCCCAGCTAATGTTTTGTATTTCTAGTAGAGATGGGGTTTCACCGTGTTGACCAGGATGGTCTCGATCTCTTGACCTTGTGATCCACCCACCTTGGCCTCCCAAAGTGCTGGGATTACAGGCTTGAACCACCACTCCCGGTATGATTTTTAAAATAATAAGCACACTACATAGCTGGGAAAACAAAGGTGTAGTTAAAAAATATTCTTAACTTTCGGGCTCCCTCTCTAGCAATTCCCTTCCTGTCTCTAAGGAAAAGAAACTGGATTCCATGCGTCACCAAGAAGTCTGGAAACTGAGAGCCACCCATTCCCTGCCAACATGTTTTTTGGGGATATATTTTTAAAGGCAATAAGGCTGCCAGACACAGTGGCTCATGGCTGTAATCCCAGCATTCTAGGAGGTCAGGGCCAGAAGATCTCTTTGAGGCCGGGAGTTCAAGACCAGCCTAGGCAACACAGCAAGACCACATTGAGAAAGAACAAATCCAGTAAGGTAAAAGACCTACTTTTTATCTCTTTTCCCCGTTTCATGTGCTCAGAACTGCAAGGGTCCCAAACAAAGGATTTACAAATTAGAAGTCATTTCACATATATTTATACTTATTATTGTATTTTTTTTTTTTTTTTTGACACAGTCTCTCTCTGTCACCCAGGCCGGAGTACAATAGTGTGATCTTGGCTCATTGCAACCTCTGCCTCCCAGGTTCAAGTGATTCTGCTGCCTCCCGAATGGCTGGGATTACAGGCACACACCACCATTCCTGGCTAATTTTTGTGTTTTTAGTAGACACAGGGTTTCACCATGTTGTCCAGGCTGGTCTCAAAACTCCTGACTTCGTGATCTGCCCCGCTTGGCCTCCCAAAGTGCTGGGATTACAGGCATGAGCCACCGCGCCAGGCTATTTATTATTATTTCTTAGTTCAAAAATGTTTTTCACATTCAACGCCAAAATATAGACACTGCATTTTATAACCCTACACACTACCCTCACACACCAATAACACTCTCCTCTCCTGGTTTCCTCATGGTGAGCAGGCAATGCCTAAGCCCTCCTGCCTACCTACCATGAACCCTTACTTTGCTCCAGTTCTCGCGCCAGGGCTCAGATGCCCTGTTAATTTCATCCTTCTAGTTGGGGCCAAACCTGGGAGATTCTTTCCCAGAGGCAGGAAGTACTATGAAAGCCTGGGAGATTTCCCAACCCCACCCACAGAAGCTAAGTCAGGAAAAGCCTGTAGAAGCCATTCACGAGCTTTAAGTTCATGCATCCTAAATAAAGGCAGCCACCCAGAGGACTGTCTCCTAGTCAACTCAACCATAAGCCATGGAATGGCCCCTATGCCAGGAGAGACCAAGGCAGTAAGGGGAAATTTTCTAACCAATCAGCTTTCCCCCTTGACTGTGAAGGAGGAGGAGGCTTTGGGACCAAGTAGGGGAAAATGGAAAGCAACACCTGGGTTAGACAGATGCAGAAAGAACAAGCATCCCTGAGCTGACCTGGGAGGCTCCCTCTACAGCAATGGGAGCATAAATCAGAACCTGAACTTTGGTGGCAATCAGTTTACACCGATGTAACAAATCCGGAGCTCAGATGACGTTTAAAGTGATGGGGACTGAAAAGGTTGCCACCTTGGTTCTGTCATTAAGGCTGTTAACATTCTTTTTTCTTCTTGGTGCTTAGCATAATCCACAGAGTTATAACATTCTTGGCCAGGCACGGTGGCTCATGCTTGTAATCCCAGCATTTTGGGAGGCTGAGGCGGGCGGATCACCTGAGGTCAGAAGTCTGAGATCAGCCTGACCAATGTGATGAAACCCTGTCTCTACTAAAAATACAAAAATTAGCCGGGCATGGTGGCATGCACCTGTAATCCTAGCTACTAAGACAGAAGAATTACTTGAACCCTGGAGGCAGACATTGCAGTGAGCTGAGCCCAGGTCATTGCACTGCATACAGCCTGGGCAACAAGAGCAAAACTCTGTCTCAAAAACATACAAATACAAATACAAATACAAATACAAATACAAATAAAAAATATTATTGGGGCAAGGAACAATGAAGCTTTGGCTTCCATATATTCTATAACAGCAGAAATTTCCCAGGCAACACAGATGTAGGACCTAAGTAATAGGTTTCAAATCCTTTTTTTTTTTTTTTTGGAGACAGGGTCTCACTGTGTCACCCAGGCTGGAATGTAGTTGTATGATCTCAGCTCACTGCAGCCTCCACCTCCCAGGCTTAAGCAATCCTCCCACTTCCTAAAGTAGCCGGGACCAGAGGCACTCACCACCACACCCAACTAAGTTTTAAATTTTATGTAGAGATGGGGTTTTATGTAGCAATGTTGCTGAAGCTGATCCTCCTGGGCTCAAGTGATCCTCCCACCTCAGCCTCCCAAAGTGCTGGGAATGCAGGCATGAGCTGCTGCGCCCAGCCCTAGAAAACCTTTTAAACCACTGCACAGTAATGCCTGACATTGGTACAGCCCTATGATTTCAAGTACATTTGATTCCTCCAGCAATCATCAGAGGTTGTTAGACTCACTTCCTCTGCAATGATTAGGAAGGATAACTAATACAGAGATAGGGTACTGACTGCCTTGAAAGCAAGCCTCACTTTTGTAAGAATCCTAGCCTAGCAGGGCTGTGGTAAGAGAAGCGGGCAAAGCAAAAGGAAGTTTGTTACTGATACTCAGTGCTATTGAGTGATAATGCAACCGTTCATCTTCCTGTTGAAGAGTTTGACATGCTTTCACAGTTATGAATGAAACTCTCTCAGATTGTTTTTAAAAATTCCTTCAAGAGAGCAGCAATACCTTCCTGCACGTGCAGTCTGACACATTTCCATGGTGACTGCTCTAACATAGTGTGGTGTATATTTCTTGTTTCTGTGACTGCCCGTCATCTGAGCCCACTCCTTATATTTGGAGAATCCCCTACCATTTGAGCTTTAGTAAAAAGCAGGGCTAATGTCCCGCTATAGAAGGACCCGACACTCACTGCCCCAGCACCTCTTGCCACAAGGGAGAAGGCATGTGACCTTGGCTTGATCAATTGGACATGTCCACCCCGGGTGTTGGCCTGAGGAAATAGTGATGCAAAGAAAGAAGCAGGGAAACTCTTTATTCCAACAACAGTAACAGCCAGGTTTCGTGCCAGGGGTGGCATCCGGTGTCTGGTGCCTGCAGCAAGAAAGGCTTTGTGAGACTATAGAGTGACCTTGGCCGTGGTCATGTCTCACTCTCCCTCCCCTTCATTTGTGATCCCTGAAAGTATAGCCTTAGTCTTCCTCCCCTTGATTGATGTCCATTTGCAGAGCTTGCGTCTCCGGGTAATCTGCCAACTGTCCAACTCCTCTTGGTTGCTTCAGGCACAAACTTGGGAGACCTCTTTGAGTTTCCTCCATAACCTTATATCTAATCCAATAGGAAATTCTGGAAGTGACCTATTTCCTCCCTTAGTATTCCGTGGCCCAAGCCACCGTTATCTCTCACCTGAATTACTGCAACAGACTCCTTTAAAAAAAGAAAATTAGTTCATCAAAATTTTTTTGTTGACAAAAATCATGTGTTTATTATGTACAACATCATGTTTTCAAATACGTATCCAGGCGTCCCCAAACTTTTTACACAGGGGGCCAGTTCACTGTCCCTCAGACCGTTGGAGGGCCGCCACATCCTGTGCTCCTCTCACTGACCACCAATGAAAGAGGTGCCCCTTCCTGAAGTGCGGCGGGGGGCCGGATAAATGGCCTCAGGGAGATAGGGGAGTTCGCCTGCCCCGAACTCCCAAAGTGCTAGATTACAGGTGTGAGCCACCGTGCCTGGCCACTATTTGTCTTTTTGTGTGTAGCTCATTTTGCTTAACATAATACCCTCCAGCCCTTTGATTTCAAGTACATTTGATTGCTTCAGCAAGCAAAGCAAATAATGGATGTCTTCCAGGTTCATCCATGCTGTTGCAAATGACAGAATTTCCTTCTTTTTAATTTATTAGCATGTTAAGTTGCAAGAAACAGACTGATTTTATTTATTTATTTATTTCCTTAATAATTTTGTTTATTTCCATTAATGGACATTTAGGTTGATTCCATATCTTTGCTACTGTGAGTAAACGATGCAGTGAACGTGGGAGTGCAGCTATCTCTTCAACAGACTAATTTTATTTTCTTTGGATATATACCCAGTAGTGAGATTGCTGGATCATACGGTAATTCCAGCTTTACATTTTTGAGGAATCTCCATACTGTTTTCCATAACGGCTATACTAATTTACATACGCCCTAAGAGTGTGCAAGGGTTTCCTTTTCTTCACATCCTACTAACACTTATC